CCCGGCCCCGTGGGGCTGCCTGGGTGAGGGAGAAGGCATCCGAAAAAAAACACCTTTTGCACCCGATGCAGCTAAGACCACTGTGCATTGCTGCGAATGAGGCCTATTTGTCTTCGGAAAGAGGCGAGGAGCTCCAGGTAAATTGATACAAAAGGCAGGGAGCATCCCTGAAATGGGAGGGATGCTCCAGGCTGGGCTGGGCAAATCTTTCCAGCAGCCTGGTAGGGCTCTGTGCTCCATGGGTCTGGCCCCATGCATCCGTGCTGAGAAACCACCCTGAAGCTCATCGCCTGTCACTCCAAAGGAAGAGAGTATTGCCTTCAGCCAGCTGCCTTCAATGTAAAAACAGGCCAGCCACATATACCTACAGAAGACAAAACCCCACCAAAACAACACTGCACCGAGCATAAAGTTGACATGAAAGAGAGGAAGGAATATGGCAGATGGTGACAGCGGGTTACTAACATATACCTGGGAAGCCCTTGGGTATTACAGGGTAACATCCCATCATTCAGTAGGTTTTACAATGCAGAGTATTGCTCAGCCTCACAAGTACACTATTTTGGGTAACAACTCTAGCCACAGTGGATTAGGCCAGGTGTCTTTCAAAAGGAAAAGCCCCAAGGAAACCCCGGCCACTTTTTATAGGTAGAAACGATTCCTCAGACTTACTGAGCAAAGCTCTCACCTTTGATGGGGGAGGGACACGCTACCACAAGCCTTATCTTGGGTCCTCAACACGATACTGATGTCCTGATTCATACTAACCATCAGTAACTTTCCTCAAGATCAAAGGCGACAAACTACAGCATCTCTACTGAGATCCAAAGGGGGATATCTGAACAAGGCAAACAAAAACAAGCACTGAACCAGTGGAGCTCGTTTACATTCTAATCTAATTGTAATGAGATGTACTCTGAATTTCCTTTTTATTAACTCGGTCGTTACCTGGTTACAGTTTTCTCATAGCCTCTCAAGACTGTTGTCAGCTTTCTACCATCATTGGTCTGGAGGCCTTTCCCAGGTGACTGCTCCTTGCTACCTGCTCCCACACAGCTGCTTGCACAGCAGTGATATAGAGCATCCTCATTCCCAGAAGCCTCCCAAGCATGCAGAGAATCAGTTACTTCTGCAGATACCAATACGAGGCGTCCCAAACATCGCTGAATTAAACCTGCTGTTTAGATTGTCCATTATTTTTCCTCCTTTCTGTAGTATTTGCTCAGCTCCAGTAGAAAGTGACATGCTGTTTAATTACACACACACTTTTTAATTAAGACATTTTGATCCTGTTTCTGGACTGTGGTCTTGGTAGCTGGCTGTTGGCACAGACAGTGGCTGGGTTCCACCCCAGAAGTCCTCATGGCCTGTGAAGCACGCCCAACACCTACCATCTGACAAGCTCTTGGATGGCAAAGCAATCACGGGATCTGAACTGGCAGAAGGAAACTTCCCGTCAGCTGGCGGAGGGACATTTCTTCACTGCCTAATCCCTTCACTCCTCTTTGGGCACGCACAAAATGCTGACTTTATCTTGGATATAGAGGTAAAGAATATAGAGGTAAAACTCAACTCCAGAATTTTGCAGCCAGCACAACGGGTGTAAGCCTTGCTCAGATCTACAGTCCTCCCCTCCGAGATCACTGGACTCCTATTAATCTCAGGTCCAGTAACTTTCCAGCAAAGCTTTACAGTGTGTGTCTATCTCCTCTCAAGGACCCTGCCTTTTGACTAAAGCAGAGAGCTAAATTTGTTCTTTGATCACAGATGATTCCCCCCTTCTCAGGCTGCGCAGACTGCACTGATGAATGCTAACTTTTAACAGGCTGTAAATCAGTCTGTTTTCCTTCCGCAATTCCTCAAATAGACAATCCTAGATCAAATGATGGCAAAGACTGTTTCTGGCGTACTCTGAGCTATAAGCCCTCTCTGCCTGTTCTGCCTCAGTTTAAGAAACCATTTGCAGGCTTCTGCAAGCCCTCAAAGGCTGGCTTTTTGTGGCTATTCCATTCTGAGATCCAGGAATGGTATTTTTCCATCTGAGTTGCCCCTGATAGAAACACATCTGGTTTAAGCAGAGGGGCGAGAGCGGTGCAAAGTGGCCACCAGACCTAGCAGATTTCCCAGCAACTTTCTGGGTCATCATAAGGGTGGAAAAGCAGAAAGGTTGCTGACGGATTGGACAGCTATTTTCCTCGAGAAAGAACGACTGGCTGGCAGCACCCACATATTAGGTTACCACAGGCATCAACAACCTGCTGAGGAGGGGAAGACAGACAGAACTATGCATCTTGGACAGACTTTATCCTAAGCTGGAAAGAGCTCAGGTTCAGGTTTGTCCTTACGAATATCCCAGCTGAATTCTCCCACTTATTTATTTAGAATAGCTAGTGCCCAAGAGGCATATAACAGTGCTGATTTATCTATGCCCCATGCTTCCTTCAAGCAACACTATTTCCATGTTTGGAAGGAACTGACCACAAAAAAAAACCCAAAACAACCAAAGCAAAACACTGACAAAAATGCAGAAGCCTTAACATTTGTTTTCCTCAGCATCCCAAACCCTACAAAATTTGTATTAAGTTTTATTTTCAAAATCATTACAAGTGTTCAGTTTGCCTAGCAGGAGGTACACTCACCTGGAACGATGACCCACGTCATTTTACTCCTTATGCTGCTGGATACCCAACCAGGATTTGGAACATCTGAGGCAAGTCCATTTGTAATGAAGTACATCAAGGGGAAATGATGACTTTCCTTGCCTCCCTCCAACCCTTCCTCATCCAATCCAGACCAGAAAAACCTTTCCAGCAAAGCTTTTGTTGAAACAGAAACACTTCCATGAAAAGTTTTGGTTTCATTTGATTGCCAGTTTACAACTGAAAGTACATCATCAAAAAGGTTCCCAACTAGCTCTTGGGAACTCTGGCTTGGACCCACAGTGAACTCAGCCCCTGCAGATGTTTGGAGGCCATGGTACAGAGAAAGAAACAGAGCAAATACATGGACTAGTTGACTGATAGCATGCACCCACGATCAGGATAAGGGAAAGTTGGAGAAGGGGTAAGCTACCAGTTATTTCTTAATTCAGAAGTTCTTGTGAATAGAAAGCAGAGCACACGTGTCACTACCACCTCACAAATTCATGACTTCTTAAAAAAGGCCCATCACAAACTTGCTTACTGCACCTCTAGAGTACCCTCCCTCAGTTCTTTCCTACATGTTAGTGCACTGCCCCCTCTACTGCTTTTTAGCCCTCACCATCCTTTAGCCCCCCTTGGTCCTCCTTCCACATAACTTACCCATTTATCTTTGATCCTCGAGGCCTTATCAGGCCTTTAGTAGGTATGTGGAGCTGTATGATAAAACAAGGTCAGAGCCCCTTTTTGCAGACAATCCTGTCCTCATACAACAGAAGAAACCATGAAAGGTCAAGGCTGTGTTCTCAGCAAATAGTTGGGCAATCAGGTACTCACAACAACATCTCACTGCTTTCTGTCCCCTTCACACGGGCTCAAAGATTCACATTTTCTTCCTTCTCTCCTTTTTTCTTTCCCCCTTCCATAAACTCAATTTTGAACAGTCAGTTGGCCAAGGCAGCAGATTCCAGAGAGTCTTATTCCAGGCCAAATAGCAATAAAACTCACTTAGCATATTCATCTTCTTGGGAAGGTAATACAATTAAGGAACAGGGTTGCTATTTTGGTATGTCATTCCTCAGTAAGGTACCGATGACTAAGAAAAAAACCTTCCACTGAGCTAGGGAAGCTGAGTACTTCTCACAGCTGACGAGTAATGCAACAGGCTTATTATGATAACTAAGATGTTTGCAAAGCACCTACAAAAGGCAACTTCCCAACACCCAAATGCACCGACTCTCTTCCCACTCGTGCTAAACCTGACGAAAGAACTAAGTAAAGGTTAAGCCTGGGGAAAGAAAGCTACCCACCCTTCCCAACTGGCACGATGGTTGTAACAAGAGCTGTCCACGCAGCCAAAACACCTGCACAGGAAATTAGTCCCCTGGAATCTCCCTGTTTGCCTTCTCCTGCCAAGCGAGTCTGCCCACAGTCAAGAATGACTGATAATTGTTGAATTTGGGTTTCAATTCATAAAATTTCCAAAAAAATCAATTTGGTCCAGGTCCCAACAGAACATGAGGTGAAGATGAAAGAAGAAGAAAAGGAAGGAGGGTGCGTTGGTTGCTCAGGCACTAAACAGAAAGGAAAATATGTTATTCATATGCCCTATTTCTCCCCCAATCTTTAAGTGCAATTTAACTCTGAAAAAGGGCAACAGCACAGCCCTGCGCTTTCTCTCTGCGTTGAGCTCTCTGCGTCATCCACTTTCCTTGCATGCTAGATTTAGCAATGAAAATAAATACTATTTCTGTTAGTCAACAGGGTCTCTGGAAAAGGACTGGGTCTGTGCTGGCTCATACATCATCCAACCTACATGGCTGAGACAACAGAATATTGTTAGCAGTGTACTACTCAGAAGGGACCTGATCTGAACTACAGTTTCCAAGGACTTCTATAGTACAAGCAGGGTCCTGGGCAAGGCTCATCTTTTTGGCCTGTTTCTGTACAGCGCATCTTTTTGGCCTATTTCTGTACAGCGCTTAGCACTGTGATAAGGGATAAGACAGAGACATAACACAAATAATGAACGACATTTGCATGGCAGGGTATTAATCCCACTCATTTTCTCACACAAACTGTGGCACTTTTGAATCACCTGGGAGAAAACCGATTCCTGCGTTTGCTGTAACTCTGTGTTAAGTCTTTTATTCTCATGCAGTGGGGAAGGAAAGGCACTCACCTCCTTCCTTGCTGACTCCCAAGCACCCCTTCAGCTCCTGAAGCGAGATTGACTTGTCCTTGTTGAGGTCACAGTAGTCAGTGAAACGTCGGGCACATTTCTTGGGCTTGGCTTTCTTCTTCACATAACGCTTGAAAGGCTTCAGCTCCCGCTTGTTGATGTCATTGCTGCTGTTGTTGTCCAGCTGGCTGAAGTACCAGTGTACCACTCGCTCCTCCAGCGTGTGGCTGGGGTCTGGCTCAGAGAACCTGGAGCAGAGGAAGCACAGGCCCCCAACAAGTGGGTGCTCTCACCAACACTGTCAAGCACATGCTGAGGAGCCAGAGCTGCTCACCGAGTCAGACATGCACTATGCCATATTTAAAGCAGGCAAAATATGCAGGTCTTAAAGTCTCCTCCTTTTAGCTGGGCTCTTTTGAGAGAGATGAACTTTTTCTAGAAGTGTCCTTTAGCATTAACAAGCGGTGCCAAGAGATTCCTGGAGGCTGATACCCTCAGTAGCTCTGGTTCTCCTCACACCAGTTGCTAAAACTCTGCCTAATCCCAGAAGGATCCGCTTTAGAGGGCAAGGGTCCTTTTGACCCTTGGGCTCCCATTCAAGTTACCAGCAAGAGAGCCGTGAGTGTCAGCTGTCATGGTAGTTTCTGCGATAGCAACATCTAGACTTCAGAAAGGGAACAAATTCATTTAATGCAAGACACATTCATTATTTGAAAATGTCCTTGGCAAGATGCAACATTCTTGCTGTATCTATTTATATGATCTGAACTCCTGTGCTGTATTTTCAGCATATTTAATGCTTTTCACATGGTTGATTTATACACAAGAATTCCACAGCAGAGAAGCACCACAGATCCATTAAAGCAATACTATGGAACTGGCAACTTCAGTTTGCTTCATTTCTTACTGATTGTGATATTACAAGTTTGACGTTATTTGGCTCACATTTTCTTTCTGTGGACAACAACGAACAATATCAGAGAGGAGGAGAAGAGGAGCAGGAGGAAAAGCAACAGCTGAAGATGCACGAATAGAGAATGCTGCCATTCAACATCAAGCCATCACTGAACAGGCACTGTTATGTCATACCATTTAAGTGGTGTCTGGTGCTCTGCAGCAGCAGTGGGAAAGGGGCTATTCCTCAGTGATACAAAGAACTAGGGAAGAAACTCTTTCTAAAGAATAATTCTTTAAAAATTGCACTAAGCTAGTCCGCCTTTTCTCCATGTGATGAGTGTGCCAACAGAGAAAGCTGAAATGATGCTGAAATGAGGCTGAGACTTGATCCTTTCTCCTCCCAAGAAAAAAGCATTTCAGTGCATGGAAATCAGTGGATAGGTAGTTAGACACACTACACTGGCACTGGTTGCTCTGACTTATTCCAGGACACACCTCCAGCTGCTGCCTAATTCCTTCCCCAGCAGTGAGAGAGGGACAGTTGCGTGCTGCAGGCAACCAGATTCTGGTGTGAGTTTGGGGCATTCTAGCTGATGGGGAAATATGAACCCAGGTACCTTATAAAATGCACTTTAAGACTGTCACCAACCTTGTTTCAGAAACTGGTAGGATATATATTTAAATGGTCACTGAAAATTTCTTTGTTGGGAACTAGAAGGGAGAAAATTCTTTTGACCTTCCGGTATGACCAGTTTTGCCTCTAAAATGCAGCTACAGAGCCTGAAAAATAAAACCCCCACCCTACCGCCATGGTAATTTAAATCACTAGTGAAGGGGAGTCTACAACATGCAGAAAGCAAGCACTGGAGCTTAGGTGAAGAACAGAGATCCCATTAACCTTCTCTGATAGCTTTTACAAATTAGGATACGATTTAGAAAGGTAGCCCCGATCCAGAGACATCTGGATCCTCGAAACAAGTAAACACACAGTAAGGAGAGGCAGATAAACTGCACAGCATTTTTCCCAAGGTTTTACTTGAAACTATCTCCTTCATCATTTAATTCTTAGCTGAGAAGGCAGCCTGGCATTCAGTCACAGTGTCTGGTAAATGTACAGTAGGATAAACACTGTGGGGGAGGAAGAAGAGGTTGGGAATAAGTTTGGCTTAGTTTTGGGAGCCAAAATACAAGGCAAGCCCCTGGAGCCACCTATGAACAAGCAAAAATTTCAAAAATCTCCCCAGGAAACTAAGGGAGTGCCCAGATTTTTCAGAGCCTTGAAACTGTATGTGAAGGCCAGGATGACAGGACAGAATAAAAACACATCCTGTGGCTTGTTTCTACGACATTTATGAACACAGTCATTGGCCTCTCTCCCTTTTGGAAATGAGCTGGCTATCATTTGAAGACTAGCATGTTTCCAGCAGCCACAGGGAATTTCTGTATTACAAGGGACAATATTCTGCTTTTGCTGAGATAGAGGAATTAAACCTGAGCTTTTGCATGTGAGATTCCCCTTGTCCCCTTTGTTTCCTGAAGGCCCACAACTGGAGTGGCAGAAATGGAGAAAATAGCAGAGCATCTTCGAACCAACAGCAGAAAGGCAACAGGAACACAAGCTTCTCTCTACCTGCTGAAGAGACACTCAGAAGCAGGACTTAAAAGTGCCTCTTTTTCAGAGGCACACCAAGGAGGAGCTCTTATGAGTTATCAAGAGAGGCAATATAGCTCTCTTCAGCACTTCCATAAAGAAAATCAGGGAAATCCACAGGCTAATACAAATACATTGACTCATGAGGTGATGATACATCAATTTTTGCCATTACAAACATGCTGAGAGCTCATGCTGAAAACTGCAGCATGCTAATGGAGCTAAAAAGAGTTAGTTTAGCTGCTGTGATTGTAGGAGGAAGGAAGATATAGCCATTTCTGAGTTTTTACCACTTCCTGTTGGCTGGTTTAGCGGGACTGCAGTTCCTGAGTTGGTTGCCTGCCCTTTCTGATGATCATCCAGAATCCCAGCACAGGAAGGATCCACATCATCTCAGTGCAGCCATATCTCCCTGGCTCATGAAATTACATGATACACTAAAGAAGGCTGAGGTTACAACACCGTATCTAACTGTCTTGACTTTGACACCTGCCCATGCAAGACACTTCTGCACCATCCATGAAACATGAATTGATGCAACTTTACAGCACTGCTAAGCCACCTAGCTTTGATGATGTGCCATGACAACAACCATACCTGCCGGGTCAGCTGAAATCATAGAATCATAGAATCATAGAATCATTAAGGTTGGAATCTAAACCTCCCCTGGCGCAACATGAGGCCATTTCCTCTCGTCCTTTCGCCAGTTACTTGGGAGAAGATAAAAAAAGATAAATAAATCTGAGGGCTCTAATTGTCCTGCAAGCACAGACTTTGCCCGAGTATTCCAGGGGAATTTCCCTCTATTACCTCTCCATTGCTGTTACAAGAGAAATAAATCAGCCCTCAGATGCAAACGTCATTTGTTGGGCTGCCTCTACTCATTCAGACCATAAAGGAATCAGAAAAATCAAGAGACAACAAAGCTGTCCTGTACATTCTCAACTCCCAGCAAAACATCATCTCTTGCTCTAACACCAGTCACACAAAAATCCACTGAATGCCAGTCTCTCACTCCAGTGCTGTAGCAGCTTTGTAAGACCTAGTAAAGACAGACATTACCAAAATGCAGACAGCCTTCTCAGTCTTCTCATGTTGAGTACATTACAGCTGTACTTGCCTTTCTTCCTAATTGTTCCTTTTTAGCACTCTATGGCAAAACAATCAATCCTAAAGAATGAGTGCTGGGGAAGCAGAGACCTCTGTGCAAGCTGATTTTCCAAATCTAACCTGCTATTGCTGGATCGCTTCCGTACATGAGCCAGCAAGTTTAGCTCCGTTATGCAGCATAAGCCCACCCACAGTCCAACAATGAAGAGAAGCACGGTCTGTCATTAACAGCCTAGAACAGGGAACCTGCTCTCTCAGCTTTCTTACTATTTGTTGGCATCAAGTACATAGTCTTCTCTAAGTAGGCTTTTGCTCCTCCTCCTGTATAATGTGCTATCAGCTCCCTCATAGGAGGAGAATACTTAGGTGGCTTATGCTTGGAGATATGTGGGTTAAAGTACCGTTACCTTTAACAATACTATTTTCCAGTTCAGACACACTTCCACAGAACACCTTCATATCATCTGGTGTAACTGGGGTACAGGCAGAAAGAAAAGAGGCTATGAAAAAACATGGGCATGCACTTTTTGCAGCTGCACTGAATTCTGGAGCAGAGAGAGAAGAATATGCCAAAATATCAAATAGACAGCTTGATTATGGCACTTTGCATGCAGTCTGTAATGCTTTACAGCCCTTGAGGCCCCTTGCAAGAAAGCAGGAGTTTACTCAGTGGGAAGGAGCAGGGAAGAAGGAGAGGTATATAGGGTGAAGTATACAAGAGCAGCAAGTGTCAGACATTACTCACATACTGAACCATATACAGTGTGCAATCACATTAGCCTCCATAGAACTGTGCTGTCAAAGTGTAATACGCCCCACTAAATTTTACTGAGTAAACTGAAGTCCATTCCTACCAAAGCTGATCCTTTACTCCCTGAACACTTGCAGCCCCGCTGCATCCCACTGCACAGGCTGCATGGACCCACAGTACTGTTGCAGTGACAGAAAATCCTAATACAAAATGCCGCTTTGAGAGAAAGCAAGGTTGTGATCTCTGAAGTACCCACCAGATGACTACCTCTTTGAAGACCTTTAGAAAACCTATTATTTTGTAATACAAACTTTATGTTGCAACAGTAGCAGCTGAGGCAGGAGGGGGAAAGGGGAGTAAGACCAGCCTAACATCACCTAACTCAGGACTGCAAACAGAGACTATAAACCAGAGGGAGCTATTCCAGGATGAAAGAACACTGATGGACAAGAAGCTGCTAGCAGAAGCAAGAGTAGAAAAAAAAATTAGTATAGCTTCCCCTCCTAACACTGACGGTATGTTTGTGGTCAGGATGTCTACAGGACTTGAAGTTGTAAGTTTCTATGACTTGAAAATATTTTGCAAGGATGTATACCTTGCTTGGTGCCGTCGCTAAATGAAGGATGGATGAGAACAAAGCTAAAGAAATGACAGGACTGACCCTGCCAGTCAACGCCTATGGCAGCATTCATGATGTCCACCCAAGGTGCCTGGGGGAGTGGTGGAAAGCGGTACGAGTTTAACAAGCTGAGGTAAAATTCAGAATTGTTCTTACTCTGCTTCCACTTCTTACTCTCCTTTTGTTGTTCTTTGCAGTTGCGTATTCTAAAGTTAAAAGCTGTAACGGTGGAACATGGCTTGAATCAAAGAGGATTACTCTAATGGAATTACAAAAGGATCGTGTATTTGTTTTATTATTCTCCCTTTCCTGTAGCCAAAGAATCAAGAAGCCAACAAAAAACTAAGCTGTGTTCAGACTAAACAAAAGGGTATTACACAGTCCAAATTCATTAAGGGGAATGCATAATTCCTCTGCAGTTAAAACTTAAGTTATCTTCCTATTACAGGTCCAGTTTTTTCCTCTCCTCTGGCTAAGTTGTATATGAAACATTATTCTGAACACAACTTTTCTGAAGATTGTGGGATAAATCATTTAGAAGGTTTAAAAATCACCACCCTTTACTCCTCATTGACTGTTCAAAGATCCTCCTCCTACATGAACTCTCCCGTATCTTTAATTAGGCTAGAATTTCCATAGGAGCACAAAGAGAAGTTAGTATCCAACTTCAATTGAAATGCAATAGGAGTTGGACATTAACTTCCCTGCACTGTTTGAAAGTGTCAATCTTTATTATAACATGGCTTGGCTTCAGAACACCCTGGAGATGTGCTGCGCTGTGCTTGCCTGCTTCAAACTGCTCAACTAGAGCATGAAAGGGAACCTCGGGGGCAATTTTCTGAAGTACTTTTTAGGGCTATTACATGGGGAATAATTGGCAACTTAAAATGAAGGGACACAGCTGCTGTGTTACATGGTAAGGGCGGCTGTTGTAAGCTGCCCTTTTAACCCAAAATTCCACAGGGCATTAATATTTTTGCTGATACTGTAGCAAGCCATAGTGCACACATTTTGGCAACTAAAATTAATTTCTGAATTGGCAGGGACCAAAGAGAGTTTCTCAGATGAAGGAAACCCAGGCTGGGACCCCCTTTGGTCTATTTTAGTTTAGGCCCTGGGTAATATGAATATGTCCGAATTAGATAGACTAAAATGTACTAAAGCAAAGTCTAATTTTAAAAAGTGCTGCTTCTATTAAATAGGATTTATACGTGAACAATTTCAACTAAGCATCTTTTCAAAAAGGATACCAAACACTGGTTAATAAACCAATTTCCTACAAGTGCTCCCTTAATTACTTTGAAAACATACAGTAACAAGATGTGCCTTGGAGTTATTACATAAACTTAAAATGAAGAATTAATTTTACCAGAGATTTTCTGTTTCAAAAGTCTAAATGAAGTCTACTTGCCTATTTTGCTGCAATATAAACCAGGGCCATGAGGAAGGGAAGTTCTCTTCTCATTTACATTATTGTAAAGCAAGAGTAACTCAATTAAAGTCAATAGCTTTGAACTTGCTTAAACGAGACAAGACCTATAAGGGATTACAAGGTTGTTTTAAGCATGCCCAATAAAAAAAAAAGTCTTATCAGGTTTTACTTACATGGCCTGCAGCAATCCAAGTTGTACAGCCTCACTTTGCTGCTACTAGATTGTTTTTGTGTGTGCCAAGTATAAAGCGTGCAGTTTAGCACAGCTCTATGTAGTATTTTAAATGCAGATCTCTATCATTTCTCCCCATGTTCCTCCTCGCCCCCCCCCCAAAAAAAAAGCTAATACGGACATTAATTGCAAAGCCAGATAGCTTTGTAGCATAAATAGGTAAAGTCTTCAAGATGAAGACACTCAGCAAATGCAAGAAGTGATCCACTCCGCATATCCACATTCAGACTGAAGGCCGCGGGGTCATCTAATCCGATTTCCTGTATACCATACTCACAGAATGTGAATCAAATTACTCTTAGGACCATAACTCGGGTTTGACTAAAGTAAGTCTTTCTGAAAGGCGTCAGGCCTAAGATGAAAGCCTTAGAGAGAGGGAATCTGTCACCTCCCTCATGACTTCATTCTGCCTTAGAATTGCCCTCGCTTTAAAGAAATTTTGATCACAAGTTTGTTTATATTCAGCTAATCATGCTCTTCCCCGCTAGACTAAAGAGCCTGCAGAGCTTTTGTCCCTATGGAAATACTCAGATTATACGAAATCATCTTTCAGCCTTTTTTTTTTAATACCCTAAGGTAGGCTGAGCTCCTTAAGACTCTCAACTGTTAGGCTTTTTCAGCCCTTGACACTTTGGAAAGGCACTTCTCTGTGTTTGGTCCCATATTTTAATGTTGATACTACAGATGCATACTGTAGCCAGTATCATCTCTCTGCTGCCATGGAGAAACATGAATAATCCCTCCCACCAAATCCTACTTGCTGCTTTTCTGATTGATTAAAATACATAGGACAATAGATGGGGCCAACTGACACGGGGGTACGGCTTGCTGTTTGCCTGGCCTGCCCTCTGCAACAGGCATAAGCTTTGCTGATGATATGTTAAAAATTTACCTTAGATCATTGGATGCATTGTTCAAACTCTAAAAAAGGCCCAGCAGTTAAATTGGATGAAATGCTGAACACTGTACAGGAACAGAAAGAGAGAGGCTACAGAGGGAACCAGTGCGTGTTTAAACAGAACCTGTTCTGCCATCATTATGGCAAAGATGGAGAAGAGCCTGCAGTAAGTGAAGCTTGCCTCACAAATAAGACAACTGACATTAAGACATTAAAACTGACATGACTGACATGAAGAAAAATCAGACTGCCAGATCTCTAGCTTTTCTTTTCAACGTGACCTTCTCAGCAAACCTGGGCCAGGGAGATACAGGACAAGCACTGACATAAATCCAATATTTTGTTAGTTGTTAAGGCTGGAAATTATTAACCCTATAGGTAAAGTGTCCCTTCGTCTTGGAAACGAGCTTTCATTTCCAGTGCCAAAGTCAAGTTAGGTCACCCAGACAATTTCAGATATTCCTGAAGAGAGGACTCTGGACATTTCTCCACTTGGGAAACTTGGAAAGCAGGACTCATTCATTGCACAGAGACAGCTTCCCAGCTCTGCAAACTCATATGAAATGAAAGCTGTACTGATTAAATTTTTATATAAGTACCAAAAATTCCTTGAAATGCTTTTTTTTTTGCAAAATAAATGGTCCCATCATGGCATGGTGGGATGGAAAAGCTTGACACATGTTCTTTGGGGTATGCACTTAGCCTAGCTGATGCACATGGAAGTTTACACCAGAGCAGTTCCCTGAATTTAATTGTGGCTGTGGGCAGGCAGAGTATTTGGGTGGTAGCAGTCTTTTGCCTTACAAAGGACAGCCTGCTAAAAGATTTCTTTCTCCCCTTGCAACTGGGCTGCTGACGCTGGAGCTGAAAATAAATCAACATGATGACTGTGTGAAGAGCTGGGCAGTGAAAAATTCTACCAGAAAGGCCTCTATTGAAAGCTGAGAAATACACAAAGCTTGGGGAACATCAGGAAGCAAGCCTGCTGGTTTATAGAAGTGCAGTTGGGGCATACATCTCTGGTCTTTAAAATATTAGTTTATATTAAGCTTTATTTTAAGAGTGATGATTACATTGGCTGGGTTTCAGTCCCTGTGCCAAAGATGCCAAATAAATATCAAATACTCTCCAGGGCTTCCCGCCACCCCTACCCACTGCATTTGAACCATGCAAATTAGACAGAATTGACATTGGAATGCTTACGGCTGGGAGAGAACGACGTATTTCCCATCCTTAGGGCATTTTTCATCCTGTTTATATGAATACAGACATGCTAGGCGTATACTGCTAATTCGATGGGTTACAGAATATTCAGCGTGCAGGCACTCAGCCACTGGCCTGATTTGTAAGGTCCAAATGCAAAGTTAAAACCATATGGGTTCACAAGCAATCCATACTGAAACCAAGAGGCACAAAGGTGCCACCCAGGAAGTTTTTTTTCTTGAGTAGTTAAAGATGGCACTGCTTCCTTCTACATTTTGAAGAGGAAAGCAGGGGATCAACATCACTCTCAATACATTGGAGCAATACCCACGGAAGTAACACATGCACAGAGGCACCTCCTTCATCTCTACACCCCTATAAACATAAGCACAGTATTCGTTGTGGCATCTCTGTGTGCTAAACTAGCACTGACTGCTTTTATATTTGGGGGAATCCAGAAGCATAGAAGCCTTGCCTAGCCGAGGCAATGTAGAACTTGTAAATCCATCACAGTCCATTCTCAACGGCCTGTCCTGCCGCAGCATTGCAGCTGCTGCACTAAGGGGATTTGCTGTTATCAAGCAGAAGGGGGAGACAAGACCTCAGCTTTTCTCCAGTTCCCCAGAAATGCAGACTTCTGCCCACGTCTTGCAACAGGCCTGACCTGCTGCTCCTTCAAAGAGGGATGAACAGGCAGCTGATCAGAGGGGAGGGCCATGAAAAACAGCTCCTCTCCTCATCGGGAGGCTGGCTCCCGCTGCACAGCAAAACCACAGCGCTGGTACTGCCAAGAATTCAGTTCGCATTCTTCACTCCCCATGGTAGCCACTAGGCCACACGGTCTCCTTCAATCCATTTGCATTTTATTAGGTCTTTTCATGCACCAGGGGACAAAAGAACAAGCCACTTCCTCCCACTGAGCTCTCATTTCACACTTCAAATGGGCTATACTAACCTTTATGGTGGAGCAGCTGCCAGGGAGGAGGGGCGGGAGGAGGCAAGCAGGGCTAGGATGACAGGACAGAGCAGCATCTGAAGATGCAGACTCAGTTCCTCTCCCAGCAACCCAGAGGAACCCATATCAGGGCAGAGCAACACCTTTCCCTCCCGCCCCCACCTCAGGGGCACCCAGAGCTCTACAGCCACCTTGGTGGTGTTCAGCCCAAGTGCTTTCTGGACTCACCTCCCACCCCCAGTAGGTGCTGCTGAGTTAATAGCCTGTACCATGTCCGTAGTGAGAGCATCAAGTAAGCTGGTAATAAATTCAACTTTCTTCCCATCTGGGCAGCCTGCAGAAAGAAAAGAGGAGGTTTAATGCAAGAACACACAGGATTGGTTTCCTACCCTAGTTCAGCAAGGATCAGCCAGAACCTCCTTTGTTTGTAACGTGGCAGCCATCATCAGTCCCTAAGGAAAGGCAGAAGAATCCCTCAGTGGGTTTCTCTGGGTGGCAATTTGTCCTCCAGCTTTTGTCCAGGCACACAGAGGGTCACTAACAATATTTGGCAGGAAGACCATGTGGTTAGCTTTATGGTCTCTCCCAGTTCCCTACCAGCATAACCACAGGGATGTACTGGAAGCGCCTGGCAGACAAAGTTCCCGTGGTGACACTTGCAGAGAAGTTTACAAAACAACTCATTACCTCCTGGGTCATCTTCTTCTGTAAACATGGCTGTTCTGAGGTCCTAACTGACAGCTTAAAGCTTCCCAAAGCACGGGCCAAAGCGAGTGCTGCTGCTTGCACTCTCCTCTTCAGGTACAGAGAGTATTGCCTGCCAGCAGCTACCACAATAATTCAGTTCTTTGCATGATCACACTGCATGGGAAATATGTCAGTCTAAGTCAACATGTGGTAATCGCCCCCAGTCACTGCTAGCTTAAGCAGGACAAAGCAGGCTGAAGACAAACTTGGTAACCATTTCCATTACCTAGCCCTGAGGCTGTCTAGTTCCCCACCATCATAACCACAGACTGAGAGAGGCTCCTATCCTTAACAGTGCCAGCCTGTTATGACACAGCTGAGATGAAATTCTCCATCTCCTCACCTTTATGAGGCAATCTATGCCGTTTCCTTGCTTCTTAGAAGAGCAAAAGCATACTTCATTTACTACCGCATTAATACTGTAACAATTGCTCTAGCCTACCAAGGAACAAGCATACTTAACTTCAACCCACCATCTCCAAAACCATTGTCCAAAACCCATCACCTCCCATCCTATCGTCTTCTCTTGATGTGACAGAGAAGCCATCACCACATCCCTTACCTCTTCTCTTTCCCAAAAACAACATTCACTACCAATTAGTCAGCTGATTAAGGCAGCAGACATCAGAAAACAGTCTCCCCCTAGCAACATATAGCAGTGTCAACACTTTCTGCTTTTCCTGGACAAGCAGAGAAGCACGTGTACCCCAAACAGAGCACCAGAAACTTACTGTAATCCCTTGACAGCTGAAAGCAGCTTGCAAATTGATCTGACAAAACTCCCTCCTTTGCAGTATTACAAGCTCTGTTCTCTGCAATAGCTAACCAACAGTCCCTTGCCTGTCTCCATATTATGTGCATTACACACACACACAGCCCTCAGCACTCGTTTGGCACATGGTCCAGAAAATGTCAGCATTGTAATGGGTAAGCTGCTATGGCAGCCAGAGTAGACCACTCACTTAAAGGAGCTTTTTGTTGCAGTAATGAGAAGGCTGAAAAACCATTTGCTAGAAGTCATCTCCCTGGGGCCTCAGCTTCTCACCGTCTGCAGGAATTAGCAGCTTGCCATTTGCTATGTGCAAGCAACACTTCCCTTCCTTCTTTCTTTCTTTCTTCTGGCCACAGCCATGACACAGTTTGTGAAAAGGGTACGTGTAGGTGTGCAAGGATTTGGACTTATGTCTCCCCCACCTTGGCCTCTGCAGGGTCTCTTCACACAGGCCAAGGAGCACACTGCCTGCAGCACTGACAGTCTGAAGAATGGGCAAACCTCTAGAAGAGGAATAAGGTAAGGAGTCCCCCTTACAGAACTGAGTGCAAATGGAATGATAAGTCTCAAATTAAAGCAGGGTTTTTTCTTAAAATTCAGTTCTGCTAAGAAATAAGAGTGGAAAAAAGTAAAAAGAAACATCCTCTCTCACCCCCTGCTGTTCTGGCTCAGCAGTGAATTTTTGCATACAAGAGCAGCTAATCAAACAAACCTCAAGTCTGCATCAAAAGATTGTGCAGCACAGCATCTCTCAGGCAGACAAACCAGGATCAGATCCTCCATCTCCTAGTCTCTCTATAGACAAGGGTATTTTCAGTGACAGGAACCATCGTGCCAGCCAATGCAGCCAAGCACAGAGCTGAAAGTTTACTTAGGCACAGAAAAGTGGCTTGAGCTGAGAGGGGAACTCTCCTGGAGTCTGATGCTGGGACCAGACCACTAAGCTACAGAGCATCATGTGTCCTCTTCTGCATCAAGCAGTTCCTGTCCCCTTGTCCAGCTGCAGCTGCAGTGCAGAAGCGGTGGGAAAAGGGAAACGAAACCATTCTGTCTTCCTGAGAGATCAGAAATAAAGTCTCAAAGAAAAAGCCCAAGAGCAAAGGATTTTCACAGAGGAGTCCTGGAGAGGCAGGGGGAAGTGCAGGGAGAGGCAGTAAAACAAGGGGAGAAGGGGATGGGGAAGAAAGGAAGTAAGGTTATTTTATTTTAGCATGATTTCCTAAGGAAATGAGCCTTAATGCAATTATTTAGCTGGTTTCCGTCCCCCTACCCCTCAAAGTAATACTTGAACCAATTGGCCAATTTCATTTAAATGTAAGAGGGAGGCAGATAGAAAATTTCTACATGACTTGTGAAAATGAGAAGCTGCATAGAAGAGAGCCTTGCTGAGGGCAGAGTTCCTAAGCAGAAAGCTACAGGGCCCGAGGTCAGGAGCCAGCAGGAGGAGAATTAGGAGGCACAGAAGGCAGGTGTGGAACAAATCTCATTTCCTTTGCTAACCCGCTCAGGGACAACTCACTTTATGCTAGCCCTAGAAAGGGCCAGGAGAAAATGAAGTGGACCCAGAGTTACCAGCTCTTTCTGCAGAATTCTTGGTCTCTACCACTCCCTCATGGTGGAGAGGAACCCACTGTAGCTTCTGTTTTCAAGCAGTCAGCCCCCACCCAGGAGAGCAATGGCTGACCTGTCAGTGAGGGCCCCTCACTCATCTCCTTAGAAAGGTAGCGGGAAGGAAAAACCAGAGCACAGGCAGGTAGGATAGCATTTTTAAGATCTGCACAGACACCTATGCCTAGCTCATCTTCCTAGCAGAAACAAGGTAGGCAAACAGTAAATTATGGCTTGTCACTCTGTTAAGAGGGAATAGCAGAATATAAAACAAGCAGTAATGGGAGATAAAGCGGGTCCCAGGCGGAAAATGAGGAATAAAGTCCAGCTAAGTGAGGAGCCAGCATTAGTTAAGGGACCTTAGTGCACCAGGAACACTGCCCTGCCTGGTCCGTGCAGTGTCAGGGAGCCAGTTGGTCCACTGACAATTGCCAGCTGTGTCTTCTTTCCTTGCTTAGAGGGCACCAAGCTGCTGAAAAGCCCTGCTAAATGGAAAGGATCCTGTCCTGGCCAGGCTTTGAAGAAAAAAATTCAGTGCTGAGCCCGTTCTTCCCCAGGGGACCTCCAGGCATCCAGGTTTCTTTCCTGAAAATTCTGATCCCAGACATATTTTCAAAGGGCAGACAGGCAATAAACCGGCTCCCAGGACACTCCCAGCCTTTTCCAGTTCACTTCTGAAACTGGAGGTGATCCAAAATAACACAGAATAAAACCCATGGTAAAACATGCACCGTGAGGGAAATCCCCCATCTCCTCAACAATATTCTTGGCCTCTTAAGAGTCCCAAGGTGAGACAAGGGAAGAAGGCAGAGACAGGATCTTGTTCCTCTCTGACCTGGAAGTTCTCTGTCCTTGAATGGATCATCAATCTCTGTGCTCTTCAATCTGGCATCGCTTTCACACACTGGGGTCTCATAGCTGAAAAAGGAGAACAGCAGATGCTAAACTATGCAATATAGCTTTAGTGTCATCAGATGGTTGCTAAGGGGTTCTGTCTTATCTGCTTACTGCAGGGGAAACCAATAAACCTGCAGAAGAAATATTGTTCTCAAGCATCTGTCTCCTTATGGACAGTCAGCAACAGCAGAAGTGGAGAGAGAAGGAATTGCCGTCTTAGAAACTACTCCCAGCCCTTGGGCTGAACACTCTCTCTTGCTCAGAAAAATACTTTGCACAGCAACCTAAACCCACAAACAGCACGAGGCCCTCTTCCAACTCTTGTGGGCACAGGCTGAGCTTTTTTCCAAAGCTGTCCATGCTCTGCAGAATCACTGTATCTAGCAGAGTTTAGGTCCCAACTCCTACTGGCCTGTTTTTATAACTTGCCAGACCCACAATTTGTTTCCAAACCCCAAGTGACAAAAGATTCCCCAGGCAGTTTTAAGATACAGAGTAACTTAAAGAAAAATCTATCACTGGCTTAAAATCTATCAACGCACAACCAAGCAGTCTTCTAAATCTGTACTGGTCAGGATCCAAGTGGCTGCAGCATGGAAGTATAAAGCAGAGGATAATGCAACAAAGCCACTTGTCTTTTCACTGCTCATGCTCCTGATCTGTACTCTTGAGCACAGCCCTGGCTCCTGCTACCACCCAAAAGCTGCAAGCCAGAGAAAAAAAGGCTGCTTTGCATGAATACTTAACACAGAGGAAAGAGCAGTAGTTACTATGCACCAGCTCCTACAGAGAGGGAGCTGCATAGTAACATTCAATAGGGAACATCACATACGGTATTGCTAGCTCTAAGGAAGGTAGTACAGAGCTGACTGCTCTAGAAGTAGGAACTTACCTTATATAGCAACAGTATTTTTTTATATCTCATCTCACCAGGCCTATAGCTCTTACCGAGTGGAAGTACCAGGCAGGGGGCGCCCCGTGTCCACCAGGACACACCAGCAGTACCCAGTTGACTGGTGGCATTGCACTGGTTTGTAGAGCCCTCCGGGAGCACACTCAGGGATGACGATACCCTCGCGGGGGTTCTGCCTGGCCTCCTCCAGGGCGCTCTGCCTTTCCTGGTCGCAGGAGTGAACTTTCTCTGGAAGATGGGAGGGAGGTTAGAGGGGGTGAAGAAAAAAGTCAAATCAAGATCACCTTCCTCAGCTCAGCAGGGTACGGGTATCCTTCACATCTCGACCACTTCTGGGTTGAGAGCTTCCTCCTACATTTAGCTGTGACACAACAAGATTATGGATTATAGACATTGACTGCCAAGTGCCCAGCAAGCCAGGAACAGCAGGAAAAACTGTTCCCATTCACCTGGGTTTTGGAACAAAGCTATCAGATAACAGTAATTCACTATTACCGCGGCCATGGGGTAAGCATTTCCCAGATGATGCTTTCACATACTGAGAGATCCTAAATTGTGACTTGTATTTTCCAGTTAAACAAAGGAGGCAAACACCCTGCTCTGCCCCACCGTCTCTTTCTTCAGACTTCCCTCTTAATAGCATCTCTGCAACACAATCCCAAGAGGAGTAGAAGGTTATGTTTTAACACTGCCTTATCCAGTGCAGAGAGCACCTGCACACACCTCGGCAGGGAACAGAATGGGATAACCCATTCTACCCACACTGCCATCACCTCTCCAGCACACTCCATCATTGCCCTCACCTGGAAAACAAGGGCACCCAACATTGCTTCCTACCAAGGGGTATGTAGGACCCTTCCTTAATAGCTTATTACACAGAAAAGGTTATTTCCAAAGACATTGTCAACCAGAGAACAGACTACACAGATGGCACGCACCAAACAACAGAAAGAAGCCCAGAAGTGGCTTCTGCAGCCAGCCTGGCACCTTCGGCCCTAACGCTGCCTCTCTGACCACCATCTGCAGAGGAGTGATGGATGCATGGAGAGGTGCCAGGTTGCTGCCTCTTATGTGGACCAACCATTAAAGGGGGAAGAGATGCACAGAGTACCCGCAGGATGTTAAGACCTATTTGGCTGAACAGCCAGAAGTTCTCAATTACAAGTCTTCAAACATTCTGGCCCTTTGAGGAGTAGGAAATTATTTCAACTTTGGAAACCACTGAAAGTATCACAGAGAGAAAAAAGGCATGTATGTAGGACAGAAAGCAGTCAAGGCAGCTGATCACAGGATTTAAAACATGTCTAAGTCTAGGGTAAAAAAAGACAACAATATAACTCCTAACTTTTATCCTTAGGAGCGTGACAAAAAACAGAAAAAGGAACAGTTGTTC